GAAGAATAAAGGTGTCATCATTAGGGAAATGAACATGACAAACCATAAAATTTGAGACAAATCTTTATGGTACATTGCAAGATCTAGCTTTACTAATAGCACTTTGCATCAAAGAACATAAGTAGTTACCTTTAAGGAAAAATGTAGAAATTTTGATGTCAAATCCCTACATAAAGACAGCATACCACCATTATCATCTTTGGAATATGTTAATGAGAGAAACTGGCTAACTGGGTAATACTGGAGAGGAATTTGTCAGTGGAAACTCAACCAGCTGAGGAGACAAGGGTTCCTCCCAAAACCACTTCCAAAGGATTATCAAGGATAGAGCCACCAGGTGATTCACTTGACCAACTACCTAGGAAGGACTTCCCCAGTGACAGGAAGGTCAGTGATCAAGGGATAAGAGGTTATCCTATCTGTATACCATGGGCTGCAGAAGAGAAAACCACCAAAAAATATCTGGTGAATGGACAGTTTAATGTAGTGTTTAGATTTTGTTTATGGATTGTCCAAGGGACTTCACACTCTAGGAAGTGGGCAGTGTTGTAAACTATGCATGTGGAAATTTAGACTTTAGCTAGAGGGCACGTGATGTTAAGAATGAAAAGTTTAGAATGTTCCAGATGACATCACAAAAATCAAGTAACTTCAATGATTATATCTAGAAGTGTAATGTGAAAATACGAATGAGCCAGTCACTTGGCAGTAAATCAGCCAGTTTAGTTCAGTGAAGTCTTTGGATCAGTGTTAGTTTTTCATATATATATTTAGGTACTTAATCAATTAGCCAAGAAATTGTACAAATCTATATTGTTACGACAGCGGAAGTCACATGACGTGCGTGATGAGTTTCTCAAATGATTGGGGAAGTTCAAGTGTGTTCGAGATGCCCTCTTTATTAGTATATAAGCCTGGCAGAGAAAGCCAGCAGGGGAATAAAGTGTGTGTTTTGCACTCGTCGAGAGGGAAGTTATCGAGATTGTGAATTGCTGTGATTTATAGTGTGTATTATAAAAGATGTTAAGTTAAAGTGACGAGAAACGTACTGATTGTGGAACTACTGTGTACTAAAAGTTTGTATCGAGGAAGAATAAACTGGTTTAATCAAGAAAGGACTCGAGAGGGAAGTTATCGAGATT